TCTGGTGGAACCGACCTTCGAATCTCTTCACCCAACACTTCTACTCGAAATGGAAGTAATCCTAACAATTCCTTATAATGTTTGATCAGAAACCATTCGGTAACCTACCGAAACTCTGCTCCCCTTTACTTGTCCTCCCCTGGATACTTTCCTCCATATCCCTCCTTTTCCAACGTATCCTTTCCATCTTCTCTCTATTGCCTACTAAACTTCCTACTCATCAGCTTATATCTGTTACTGTACTTTCATCCCTTTTTCCTATATTTTTTTATCTTATCACTTCTCTCTCCAAGTGAATTTCACCTTCCTGCCGCTATTATTTCCACCTTGTTTTGCTTATCCTTTTCCCTTTTATGTACATTTCCTCCAGATTATTGTTTTCCCTCATTATTTTTCTCTATCTAGTCCAGCCAAGCCTATCCAGACTGACGCTGGGCTTCGTTGCCTGTCCTTCCATAGCCCTTTTGACGTGGCTCTAGCCGTGTCTCCGACGCCCCAACATGCTCGCCAACCCTCCGCCTCCTCTGGTGCCTCTGGCTGCGCAGCCTTTTCCTCAAGCTCCCGAAGCAGTTCGCAGGCACGCTCCATGGACAGGCATAACCCGAGGCGCAAGACCCAGCCGATTACACTAGACGACTTGGCCAGAGCCAATCTCCGTGTTCTCGGTGGACTAGAAGGCTCCACACTTGGTGAGAACGCCGGCCTTAAGAAGGCCCCCCAACTGGTATGACCTTCGGGCGGATGGGAAGGCCACCTAGGCTCAAAGAGTTTGGCAACTCTCTTGTCAAAAAGGTTCTGTTACGCCTCCGATGGTGCCAGCATTTTTTCCTACCACATGGGCCACTTTTCCAGCAAACCTCTGCTCCGAAAGTATGACATGTTGACTGTCCGCTGTAGTGTGTAGTTAACCTCCACGAACCGTGCATCTAAACTGCTAAACCAAGTTCTCCTAGATTGTTGGGATTCTTTTTTCGTTCAGGTTGATCACAATCTAAATGGTCTTTAAGAAAACCAGTGTTTAGCAGCACCAAAATATCTTTGTTTAACATCAACGAATGGGCTTTCGAAAGGAAATGGGGTTTAATTAAATCAATCTTTTGACGACTTTGCCAGTGCTGTTGCACAGCCACGACCACCAGATTCTCCGACTTCAAAGACTCCACATCTGAACTGAACAACCGACCACTGAGGCTTTCATTGCATCTGCAGTGGCCCCACTTTCACATTTACTTGGGTCAGACCTTGAGGCAGCATTGGGTGATATGAAGAGAGGTTGGGTTTCAAAGAATACCTTGACAGATTGTTGCTGGCTTACTTTTAATTTCGTCTGAAATGGGGATTGGAAGCAATTCGTAAATTTAACTTACTGGAAATGGAATGAGGACATGTGATTGCTGGATTGTGCGAAGAAGACCCCGATGTATCCTTGCAGCACTTTCGTCTGTCATGGGGAGGACATCTTCAGAGCCACAAAGGAAAATGTCACCAAAACACTCAAACACGAAAGGTGGCATGTTGAATTTTGACTTACTTATGCCTTTTCAAACGATATGAAACGTACGCTAGCATCACTCTATTAAGGAATTCTTCAAAATACAGCTTTTCTGCATAGTTACAAAGTACCTATGGAGACCATTTTTTGTAAATTCATCATTTTACACCAAAGCCTAGAAATTGCCGGACAGGTTAGTTAACTACATTCGACTTTTTAGATAATGTTTAACACGTAGTGTTATTCCCAAGTTTACCAAATAGAACTAAGAGAGATCTTGTAAAAGTATCTCATGATTTGATCAATCAGGGGCGGCACGGATACATTGCAAGATTAGGTTATTTGAATCGAGAAAAAACCGGACTCCAACACTATTCGTTTTGAGAATTTCCCCAAGTTACAGTCAATAGCAGATACGTTATATGATGTAACATTTCGGCAGATTTTAAAAATCACGATAGGAAACTTACAAATTTGGTTATTAGGATCAGACCATTGAAAGATATGCAGAAGGCATCTGAAATCAAGAATAATGTGTTGCCTGCAACAATGCATC